TTAGCCAGTCACGTGATTTACAAAATCAGTCATGCATACGATATCCCACATCAAATTTGATGTGGGAAATCGTACGCATGAATCGTTTGCCCAGGCCCTAATTCGAAAAAAAAGAAATTGAGTATGGGACGCCAATTAAATTAGGTAAGGCGCGCACTAAGTGCAATAAAGAGTGAGTAACCTAAAATTAGGGCCTGGAACCCAGGCTACATACATGCTGGAATACCACAGCTACAGTGTACAGCTACCTAACCTGATGGAGTACATAGTGTAGACCCTCCTGTTGTTTGGATACATATATTCCTGTTGGTACCATGGTGAACCACCCACCAGTCAACTGTCCACCAGAAAAATTACAATTTTCCTTTCCTGTTTTTTGTCAAGAATGGCTACACTATAAAAGTGTATAATGTATACAGTACCAATGATTTTATGGCCAAAAATCAGCACTTTAGTTAAAAAGAATTATAAAAATTGTATACGTTCTTACCGTTAACCAGTAACAGCCGTCACTAAAAATCTTATTGTGAAAGATGTCGACGTGGCAATGGATGTGTACATCATCGACCACGCATCGACCACGCAGTCACGAGGGTGAACACCATGATTTATCCGCGTGCCTATTTGAAAGAAGAGCGGTCATTGGTAGATTTAGTAAATAATATGGCCTATTATTAAAATTTAATGATGTGAATTAATACAGATAATTAAAATAAATATTATTCTCTTCATAAATATCTACTAGAGTATAAAGCATTGATATGGTTCAGGTGGCTTTATATGCTAGAATAACATAGGCATAGGCCACCCCAAAACATTGAGGCCTGGGCTTCAACACTGTAACAGCAGCTGTCTTTATATATTTTCAAATTGCTTGCAATACAAACCAAGGTATTTGTATGAGTTATGTTCATAAGTGTAGCTACTGTGAATCTCAATTTCCTGTTGGTTTTTCAATTATTAAGAAGCAAAATAAAATAATGCCGTTACAGTATAGGTTTGATTTTGTTCTATTTTTTTTTTGTAGAGCGTCATGTTGGTACAGCCGGCCAGAATGTTAAGAAGCAGTGGTGTTCAGCTTCAGGATGAGTAGTAAAATTGTGAGAGTGGATAGCAACTTAAGAATACAGTTTGCTGGTAAGTGGAGAAACATTTATTTTTTCATCCAATTGTGATATAGGCTACTGGGAGTGTTATCTTATAGCCATACTGTAGTTAATAATCTCAATTTTGTTTTCACAAATGTTATTTATTATAAAATTATTGTTTAAAATATTTTTTACTTTTTCCCTTCTTTTCACCATATAGGGCAATAAAATAATGCTGTTAAAAATATCCACCAATCTTAAATTAAAAATTGTACTATATAGGTACATGGTTCTTATTTTCTCAGTTTTACAGTTTTTATTATTTGTGCAATAAAATATCATCAACATAAATTATATTTACCCAGTATCATGAAACTTCTAATGGTTAGCATGGAGGAATTATACCTCCGTGCTAGGCTGACTATAAGACTTCTCATTTTCTACTATGTACCAGGCCCGGAATTTATCAATCTCAGCTTAGCAAATGTCTTAAGTCAAAAAAGAAAAAATGTCCACAATAAATATCTTAAGCTGATTTATCACCCAATTTTAGCAAAATCTTGGCTTAAAAAATCGTCATAGATGGCCCCAATGTACAATCGACTTTCTAATTTTAAGCAATTATGGATAAATTTGACTTAAGCAAAAAAATGGACTTAAGACGAATTTAAGCTGATTTCTAGTTTGATAAATCTGGCCCCAGACCCCGAATTTATCAATCTCAGCTTAGCAAATATCTAAAGTCAAAAAAGATTAGATGTCCCTAAGCAAATACCTTAAGCTGAATTATCAAACCATCTTAGCAAAATCTTAGCTTAAAAATCATCTAAGATGCTTTATACGTACAATCGACTTTTTAATTTTAAGCATTTTTTAAGTTAAAGCAATATTGATAAATTTGACTTAAGCAAAAAAATGGATTTAAGATGCAATCTAAGAATATAGAAAGAGAAAGAATGAGCAGCTAGCATATTTTGCATTATAGAATTGTAACGCTTTTTACCGGAAGTGTGTCATATCATACGAGTCAGGCCCTCCCGCAGCAGTGTGTGAAATGCCTATGTTGATAATAATTACAGGTAATAAGGTAGGGGTGGGCTGCTTGCGATGCCATTTTCGAATTGCAGAGGACTTTATCTAAACATTATATTTGTCTAATACTTAATTTTTATATGAGTATATAGAGTATACTATTATTTTATTTTTTTTATATAATTATTTGCACACTTCATTTTGTAGTGTTATATGAAGACGATTATTTATATTTATGTAAAATATATTCTTATGAAGCCTATGTTTTCATCAATTGCCTGTTATGTCCTATTATCTAATAACATAACATTACATAATTTGCTGTTCATTGAAATTTATGTCATAATGGCTTGTTTATTAAATTTAGGCCTATACATACAGTACATCATTTACAAATTTTCACTTGTATTTATAACTGGATAGCAGCCTATTTTATCATAGTACTGTAGTTTCGTACATGATACTGTATATTGAATTACATTCATACAGGGAGAAAACTAATACAGCATAGTACTGCACTGGGGTGGATGCTAGGGGGGGGGGGGGGGGGGGGGGGGATGCTAGGGGGGGGGGGGTGTGCAGATGGTACGATCGCACCGTAAAATGTATTAAGAAAAATAGTTGTTTTATTTTATTGTTGGTTTGAATTACGAGAGTGAAATTTTCGGGCACCTATAGGTCTATATCCTCACAATTTTTGCACCTCAGCCCCAACTATGGTTGGGCTGATGTCTGGTGCCGACTCTCGCGCAACCCCCACCGCCAAATCCTGCATCCGCCCTAGCTGCATTAGGCATTTATTTTTTAATGTAAAATGGATATATACGTTGTATAATAATTCTCAAATAAATGGCCCTTAATTTTAGTATGTGATCATAAATACTTATTGATCCTAACCAGGTTGGAAAAAATATTAAATGTTATTATTATTAATAATAATAATAATAATAATAATAAGATTACAATTCATTAGGGCTGAAACGTAGCAGTATGTATCTTTTATAACTTGGTTTTAAAATTCTACAATCAAAATTACAAATTGTTGTAAAAATGTTATTAATAATAATAATACAATTCAAATAATTTCATTAGGGTTGAAATGTAGCAGTATGTATATATTTGTTACTAAGGTTTAAATTAAGAATGTTACAAGCAAAATTACAAATTGTTGTAATAATACATATCATAAAGATCCTAACCAGGTTGAAATGTTGAATGTTCTTATTAATAATATTAAAATTAATAATAATAAAATTGCAATTATTAATGGGCCTAGATGTTGTAATAATAATAATTAATAACATGATGTTCATGATAATAATAGTAATAATAATATTGATAATAATATTGATAATAATATTGATAATAATATTAATAATAATAATAATCATTAAAATATTATTAATAATAATAATAGTAGGCCTAGTTTAAGCATCTTCCTGGTTTAACCAACAAAAGTAGCCTCGCCTGGCATGTCTAGGCCTTGTAGAAGTAGACCTCTATCTAGTACTTTAGCCCTAGTTTACACCTAACAACTGTTGTAGTGTAGACTTCCCACAATTCATCTGTTAGTGTTAATGTCCACATTTTCTACTATGTACAAGGTTGATTTTATAATTTTTACAATTATAAATGATAATTTTTGCGTCAAGCTACTATTAGGGCTATATAAGACATATTATGGTTATTGAAGTATCTCGTGTAAACCATTTCGGCCCTTAATTGAATAATAATATAATGAACGATAAATCATATAAAGAAAAGCACAACCAATTAACCAGGAATGTACCAAAATCGTACACACATATGTGTGTGCATATATATATATATATATATATACTCATAAAGAAAACAAAAATTTAAAAAAAATGTGCATGTATCAGAAAGATCACAGAGTGTAAGTTTACTTTTTAAATTTGTTAATTCTTCATTTCTAATGTCGTCAAATGCCGTACATTTTAATAATAAATGCTTTACATCTTCAATTTCTCCACTGTCACAAAGGGTACAAACACGAGTGCGATCCATGGACAACATATGCGGCTGGGGCCAAATATTCAATGGCGTAACTAGCTTCTAGGGTGGCCCTGGTTCAAGAGTGCAGTCAGGTCCTTGACAATATGCAAATTGACTGACCAGATCAACTTTAGGGCAAATAGAAAAAATTGTTAGATTATCACTCCTGCCCGTGTCAAAAATTTTGGAATTTAAAAAGAAATATTTTTGCCGCATTATTTATTTTAACAGCTTAAAAAAACAATGAAATTTTGTGACTGTGAATATTTTCTTTAAAAAAACAATAAAATTAAGCCAGTTTTTATACAATATTACAATATTCTTGCAAATAAAACCACTCCCTTATCAATAAAAAAAAAGCAATATTATATTGTTCAGATTAAAAAAAAAAAAAAAACCGCCCGCCCTTATTTAAAAAAAAAGTGATAATCTAATATTTTTTTCTATGTGCCTTAATATGTGTATTACTGATGGGTTAGAGGAGTAGGGGGTCCCTCCAATTTCTTACACTATTTTGACAATTAAATATTTCAATTTTTAAAATTTTTAATTTTAGATGTTCTAAGACGGTATCTTTGAAGAGTCGGCTATTGGCAGAACTAACCATACGGTAAGCATTATACCCAAAAGAAAAAAGCACATTCAATATTTATTAAATTGGTATTTTTTATTTATTGGATTTAACAATTTTAAAAATTATCTTGTACATTAGTTTTATATACTTAAGTATACAAAACTAATGTACAATTCAAGATAATTTTTAACATTGTTCAATCCAATAAAAATAAAAAAACTCCTAAATAAAATGTATCACACCTGACATCGTTAGACCTAGGTATGACTGTGATCATATAATGCACTTATCCGATAAACATGGCAGCCATATCGTTCACTTAGAAACAAATGCACAAGTAAAATTTGGAAAAATCCAAATCAGATTATTTTTTATTAGTTGAAAACAAATATAAACACAATCCTAAATGTTATTAAAATCTTGATTGTGAAAATTTTAGCAGTTATTTTTTTAATATAGGAGCAGAGATTTCTAACTCAGTTAAAGAAGACAAAACAGATTGGAAAAACACAATTTGTATTGACACACTAAATTCTGTAGGTGACTTGTATGTGGCGATTTTAAAAAGAAGCTGGCATGTTTATCTTGATGTTCGTCAGTGGCATATCCAGAATTGAAAGAAAAGGGGTGGTAATGAAATGAGAGTTCACAGCATGTCAGCGCCACCATGGTTTAAGAATTTTGTACCTCTGAATGCTTAGAAATGGAACATAAATTTACTTTTTTAAATCTTTTTATTCTTGACAAATTGATTAAAACAAAACTGAATAAATTAATAAATGGTGCCCCAAAATGGCACTTAAATACTTACAATTCCAAAAACTTAGTCTCACCATGGTTGGGGCTCAGGTAAAAAAATTAAAACTTATGCTGTAGACGTCCGAAAATAGCACATGAGTAATACAAAATCTATGATAACTACCTGATCCCCTAGACTTGCCACAAGTCCCTTAATATTATTGTTTTTTTATCATTCTAAACAGCGCCACCAACAAACAAGTTAATTTTGAGACGAAATAAGGGACTTATATTCTGTATTTGGATAAATGTGTGGACCACAATAAACGATTTCAAACAATCACTATGCTCACATTTTCAAAGCCACGGACGTGTACAGAAACTGAGTCACATCTCGCGTCGACTAGTTAGGCACGGCTAAAATATAGTCTCCCTAATAAAACGGACCTAAAATATATAGAATAGACTCTTGGACAATCAGTGGGCAATGGCAAAGATGAATTAAGCTTAGGCTAGATGGCCCATATTACAAACATACAGCAACTTTCCTAGATGATGGCCTACTAGGCCTCTGAGTCCAGTACTATTTAGTAGTAGTGAGGCCTGGGCCTACTTTTAAGTTCTTATTTAATAATACAGTTTTAACGATGTTCTATTATAGGCATCAAGGGTTTAGTCAGAAAAACGAAATAGGCCGTTCAAAATGGAAGCCGGTGGGAGTGGCCCAGAGCTGATGGGAAAGCCATGCCAGCACATAAACATAAGAAAAAAAGATAGAAAATTATGATCTTTAGAGGGCATTTAAAGATTTAAAAAATTTAAATCTAAATTTAATTTAGGATTTAAGATTTTTTTATTTTTTATTTTTTAAATTTTTGTTGAAATGTTGGAATTTTGTCTTCAAAGGAATAGTGCTGAATTAGCTATCACAAAGATATTTCAGTTATAGACGTAGATTGCGCACGAGTACGATTACTCACATAAACATAAATGTTTCTAAGATACGCAGATGCATCTTCATCTTTACAGACATGCCAACCACTCCAATTTCGGCGGAGTTACTCCGTTTATATAAGCAAAATTCCGCACTCCGATTTTGGGTCGAAAATCTCCACTTTTTACGCATTTTGGCCAGCTGAAGTAAATTGCGATTTTCTGAATAAGAATGATAATCCTATGATTTAGATAAGAACGAGACCACTTAATTACATCTTGAAAACAGCGCTCTGAACTGTATACGA